TTATAGTTACGTGAGGCAATATGCAGGAGGGCCATGACCTGTTCTTCCCTGCAGTGGAGGGCAGGATGTGTTCCAATGGGGCAAAACTCAAGGAAACAAGCTTCAAGTTGGATGTCAGGAAGTACTTCCTGAAGGTTAGGACCCCAAGAATATGGAATGGGCTTCTAGGAGAGGTCACTCAGCCCCATCAGTGAAGGGCGTTCAAGGAAAGATGTTAGGGATTACATGAGTGAGACCCCCTGGAGCCCAGGCATCAGACTACATGGCCTGGAAGGCCTTTTGGCTTGCTTTGTTTGTTTCTATGTTATTGTATTTTTATTGTGCTGTTATGAACCACCCAGAGTGTTGCAGCTGTTGGGTAGTATGGAAAATAAATAAATACAAGACATAAATGCATGATTTTTACTATGAAAATACAAGTTAAAAAATGCAAGTATTGTAGACAGCCTATTACTCCAAATACTGTGTAAACCTGGACTTTCTGGTCTCTACTGTAATAGCAACATCAGTGTCTACAGTTATTTTTCACTGTATGTCGAAAAGAATATTCCCTCACTAAGCGGAAGAAACCCTTGACGCACTGAGCTCCAACTGTGCACTAGAGCTTGCGGCCTGGGATAAGAAGAAACAGACCAAAGCTAGTAAGTCATTGAGATATGATGTTCTTTTACTGGAAATGCCTAATATTTCATACATATGAATATATAACTGCATGTAGAGTGGGACTCTTGCCCCCTCTAGTGACTTAATATAGGTGGCAAGAATTTGCTCCATCCAGTTGGAGGTGTTACTGCATAAATGCCAAAGGTCTCATTTCATTCCCCAGTGCTAATGAAGAATCATAAAAGTTAAAAAAATCCTGATTCCCAATCCTGAATTAGGAAAATGCCTTTGAACCAATGGTTCACAACCCTTCTATTAAGAAACTCATCTTCTATTCATTTTCTTATTTTTTAATTGGTATTAATTTCCAGAGAAATTCTAAAAGATCTGGAAAGAAAAGACACCAAGCCATAAAGAATACTATTTATTTTTTTATTTATTTTTCAATTTATATCCTGCCTTTTTCCTACAAAGGGCTCAAGGCAGCTCACATCATTCTCCTCCTCCATCTTATCCCCACAACAACAACCCTGTGAGGTAGGTTGGGCTGAGAGTCTGTGACTGGCCCAAAGTCACCCAGTTGGCTCCATGGCTGAGCGGAGACTAGAACCCAGATCTTCTGAGTCCCAGTCCCATGCTCTTAACCACTACGCCACACAAAGAAAAGGCACAATGTCAGTGCTTTGTATTATTCTGATGCAATCTCTCTCAAACTACTACTGGCATGTGTTAACTTAGGTTAGAACCAGATGGATGGGATATCCATTCTACCTCCAATTAATAATTTCAAATGCAACCTATCATGCACATCCATTCCATGGATAAAGCTGTGAGCTAAAGGAACAGCCAAACATTTTCCATATTTTCCTACTGCACACCTGGAGGAGAATAAGGGATAGCAATCAATCTATTTGTCTTAATCATGGTTTGGAAGATTTCAACATGTTTATATTTGGTATTACCTGAATGAAAGTCTGGTCCTAGCCTTAGAAAGAAACTAAAAGAGTTTCAAATTGGAAAAATCCTCTGTTATTGATCATTATTTACTTTATTATTCTACCACCTGATAGCTGGAGCACACTATACAACAATTCCTCCATGACATCATTCTGACAAAAGGAAAATATATCTAAGCTCATTTGGCAATGATGTTTGAACAACTCCATTGTATCTATTCTTATTTCAATTGTGTCATAACACAAAACATTGAATAATTTAGTAGATATTGAAAAATGTCTTTTGGAATGTTCATGTTTGGATATAAAGCAAGGGCAAGATGGGAAGAGGAACAAAGGAGTTTAATTTGTTTCCAAGACAAAGAGTGTGTGAGAGTAAAGTATTGTTAAGAGAATAATAAATGAGAAATCAAAGGACAACCTTCTAAATCAGGAAAGAAACTGCTAAACATTTAAAGTGCCACAAAGCAGTTCCATATTCCATTGTGATGTATGAACAACATTATCAAACTCTTATTAAAGAAATTGCAAAATATCTATGCAGTCCATATCAAAGATGGATAGATTTAAATCTGTCCAACACACAAGTGGAAAGATATAATGCATCTTTCTATAAGAAAGTGACAGAAATCAGTAGCTCCACAAATGTGTGAGATAGCCTTCTGAAAATGACAGCTATTTTATTTTTTTTTATTCTTTATACCTTGAAGCTATGGGCTCAATTATGTTACTTTTGAGTAGATATGTGTGATAATACATGTACAGTCAAAAACACTTAAGCTCCTTTTCAATATAAAAATTATCCTTGGTTCTACAAAACCAAGATTTCATACCAAGACACAGCAGAATATATTTAACAGATAAAATCTAGAAAAGAACTAATATAGTTTTTAGATAGTTCAATGCTTTTAGCAATAATTGCCAGCAATAAAATGTCTGCAATAACATTTTTTGCAGGTTATTTCTTTTATACAGTTTATTCATATTAAAGCCCTACAATTACAAGTAAGACTTGAAATGCCCCCTTGGTCTCAGAGGGATTTACTCTGAAGAATGCTTAGAATTGCAGTCAAAATGTAATTTTATTACAGACCAATGTTAACTGTATTACAAAAATATATTCTTTATATCACTCTGAGAGCTTTGGATATAGGACAGCTCATAAACTGAATAAACTAAAATATTTTCAGCCCTCAAGTTTAGTACCTGATTTTCTTATGAAAATATCTGGAAATGGAGATGGTTAAACCTTGGAAACCTGCACTCATGACATTTTTTATGGATAAAGAATAGTTCAGAGAAGGATGCATTGCTTCTCATGAAATGCAATGGACAGAATATTAAGTTTTGAAGAAGTTGCTTAGACCCATTGCACAAAGCTAGATGGAATAAAAAATACCCTGGAAGTCAGAGATAAGATACAGGGTGATCTTGATAGGTTAGATCACTGGACAGGGAATAGCAAAATTAAATTCAGTAAGGACAAATGCCAAGCCATCCAATGAGGAGAAAAGAACCAAAAGTACAATGATAAGATGGGGAATACTTGGCTCAGCGATACTGAAAATGAGAAGGATCTTGAGGTTGTTGTAGATCATAAGCTAAATATGAGCCAACAATGTGATGTAGCTGCAAAAAGGGCAAATGCTATTTTGGATTATATTAATAGAAGCCTATTTATTTATTTAAAACTTTTTTAGACCGTCCCTTACCATGGTCTCAGGATGGTTTAACAATAAGAAAAAATAGAATAAAACATCAGTTATAGTCTTACAAATTTCAGAATTTCCCCAAGCCAGCCTTGGAGACTCAATAGGACTTATCTTGAGAGGACATGCATACGATTACACTGTTAGTCTGCAGCCCCTTGGACACCGATTAAATAGGAATTGCTTCTGAGTAGCCATGCGTAGTATTGTGCTGTAATTGTGCATAGTGCGGTAGAAATTATGAACAATACCAACTTGGATAGCTTCTTGTTCCTTTCCATCCATGCTTCCCAACTCCAGATAAAGATGGATTATTAAAGGCAGCCCCATCAAGTATGGAAGGCCACCTTGGGGATGGACCTGGACAGTTTCCAGAACAGCTGCTGTTGAGGTAATAAGACTATGACTAAGTCATCCCTTTACTCTCTCGCCCCTGTTCCAGAAAGTTCTGGCAGATGAAGCATGGAGCTACTTTATTTAGTTTTCAGAAAGGATGCCAGATCCTTTTATTTGATTGTTGAGATCTGCTGGATAGTTACATTGTTTCCCACTTGTTTGGTTCCTGCAATGAATTTTACAGTTCCGAGGTTTTTTGTTTTTGTTTGAGAGTCACCTTGTGGTGTGGAAAAGTGCATGAAGTGTTTCAATAACAATTTAGAAAAAATGTTTGTGAATCAGTTCCTGAACAGACCCAGAAAGACCAGTGGGGCTGATCTGAAATAGCTGAGGAAATTCTCACAGCAATATAATTTATGGGGCAGTGCTAATTTAGCCCTTCTAAGTTGGGTCGCTTGGTTTAAAAACTAGTAATATTCAAGGAAAGAGGGAATGTTACCAGGGTCTGTGAATGCACCTTCCAAAGAGTTCTCTAAAGTTTTTAAACCTTTCTTCAGCTTAAACATATAGTTCCCCAGACTTTGCGCATACAGGCAAAGGGAAGTGACACGCGACTGCCCCCGTTTCTCCCCTTCCCATACCGCTGTGATGTTGGCAACAGCAGAAGGGACACTGAAAAGCATAAATACACCGCGTGAGAGATCCTGAAGCATGCATCGCTGGAACAGAGCCGTGCGGATGGGAATTGCGATTCTGGCATCTTCCCAAAGGTACGCTCACAAGTGACGCTAAGCGCGCGTCGTGGCGAATGCGGTATATTAGCCAGCTTTCCCTGGCGCTCCGTCAGCTCGTTCCATTCTCTTCATAGGAGGCGAAGAAGACCGCCAGCCTAAGCAAGCCGTGCTCTTTCGCGGAAAGCAGCTCCCCCGTCTGGCCAGGCTCGGAGGGAACGGCGCGGTTGCCATTGGCTTTGCGAGAGGCGCTGTCGCTACGGAGGCAGCTTGGCGAGGCGGCTTCGGCTGGCGCTGGGGCTCCACTCCTTGTAACCAAGGAGCAAGCGTCAGGAGACACCCAGCCGCGCGGCTGCCAGCTCGTCTTTCCCCGCTCCAGGGGCTCCTTGAGCGGCCTCTTGCAACCTCCTTGGAGGGAGAGACCCCGGCATTTCCCCACCTAGTCGCCCGAGCTCGGCTCGAATGACCGCGAGGCGAGGCTGGGTGGGGGCTTCGACTGAGTTAGCGCCTTTCGTTGGACCTCAGGGTTTTGCATCTCTCCCGTCCCCGCTGTGCCGCTTCGTTCCTCCCGCCCCTCCTTACTGGAGAACCGGGGGAAGGAAGAGCAGGAGCCGCTGGAGAAGCAGCGCGGGAACGCCAGCTTCCTCGCCTCGGCAGTTTATCTGATGGCGGCTCACCAGCAAAGCAGGATTCAAGCCTACCTGGAGAAGAACAAGATCGGGCCCCTCTTCGAGGTAAGCGCCTCCTTGCCAACGGCCTTGCTTGGTTTCCGCCAAGCCGGGGTACCAGGTTGTGCTTGGTGGGAGGCGCGCCAGGGCGCAATCCGTCCGGGCGACTGTCAAGTAACTTCGCGCTGCGCTTCCTTTCAGCCGAGCCACCGGGAGCAGGGGGCGCGTCTACTCTGGGGCTGAGCGCGCGCGACCGAGCAGGACTGGCTGGCTGCTCCCGTGCGCTTTGGCTGCAAGTGCCCGGGAGCAGGCTGCCGCTCTCCCGTGCGGGTGCACCTGTCGCCTCCCCACGCACGCACTCTTCTCTCCCCCAGTGCTTTCGCCCTCGCCCTCGTTCAGGGCTTTCCTCCCACTCTTCCTCCTTTCTCCCTTTTCTCTATATTCAGTTCAGAAGCGTGCTGCCTGGTGCTGTTCCTTCAGAACTGCACGGGAGGGAGGGATCATCTCTGGGACCGTTTGCCCCTCAAGGCTGTGTTCTCAACCCTCCTGTATTCTTTCTGTTTGAGCCTATTAAGGGCAGAGGTTTCCTCACCCTGATTTGGGCAGCCTCAGTCACCAGTGTCCTCTTTCCGACATATGCACATGTCACCATCAAGTTCAACATTAACGGTTTGCCTCATTGTTTACACATGAGTGTGGTCTTCTCCCTTTCACGTATCTGCTGCCAGGCTAACCTAAGATGCTGCTTAAGTGGACCATTGAATAGTGCACACCACCCTAATGAAGCTGCAGAGCAGGCAAGGACTGGTTATTTATTTTGCCATCGGAGAACATGACAAGTGCCTCTACTACCCCATGAAAAAAAAAAACTATTATTAATGATAATGCATTTGTTGCCTTTTCATGACACTTCACATGAGCAATTCTAGAAGCTGCCCAAAGGCAGGACTAGCCCTGTATACTGTTCAGTGCTGTGAACATGCATGTTCCTTCTTCAGCATATGACCTGCCCGTTTTTTTCTTTAGCTCCGCTCTTAATATTTTTTTCATTGAAATGCCCTCCTTTCTTTGGGTTGCTTGGTTGGTTTTAAGCATTTGGACTACACAATAGCAAAGTTCTCTGGCTTCACCCAGCTCCTTTGCCTTGTGTTCTCTTCCATGTGTGACTCCTCTTTCTCCTAATGCGCTATGTACATGCTGCCCTCATGGCCCCATCTCTTTGACATGTGCCTAACAGTTTGAACAGTTAAGCTGCCACTTATGAATAGAGCTCCAGTTATATGTTCCTGCTCCCACAGAAGGCATCCCTTGGCCAAATGTTTCTGTTGCCATGCATGCTTAGATTCAAGGCAGGCAGGCCGAGTTGCAGTCAGTTGGAGTATCTGTCGCCTTTGGGCTGTGCACAGTGGACCCACTGCCTGCCTCTGCGCATGTCAATGCTAAGAGGAAAGTGTCCTGCTAGTTACCAGGGCATGGGGTCAGAGAGTGACTTTGCACTGCCTGACCAGAGATGAGAGCCCGAGGTAGCAATGCTTCAGCCTTCCTGTCATTTCAATGTGAGGGATGGAGGGTGTACTGGAGTATTGTGAGCAGGGAACTGGTGAGGGCTGCAAATGCAGACTCAGCACATGGGAGCATTTGCTTCGGGGTATAAGCAAAAGCAGAGCCACTGTGCTTGGAGAGCAAAGCAGAGGACAGTTGAAGATTTAAGCATACCCCACGCACCAGCATTGGTGGCACCAAGGCTGCAATCTTCTTTTGGCTGATCTGAAATAAAAATACCATATGACAGATTAATTCAGGATTATTGGATTCACAAGGCAGATTAAAAAAAGAATAGTTATAAAAATGACCTCTCCTGTTTTAAAGCATTTTAAAGCATTAGCCCTTTTCATCCTTGTATTTGCAATTATATTTTTCCACAGGTTACAGTATTTCTGTTTATAGGTTGTGCTTTAATATTGGCATAAAAACTTGAATCCGTTTACTAATATCTAATTTTCTGATGTTCACCAGTTACATTTCCAAGGCTGACCCAATTTTACTATATTAAAAAAAATATTGTTCAAAGCAATTAGGCTTTTAGTATTCTTTTCTTGCCATTAAAATTACCGACACAGGTCTTTGACATATGCAAATTTAATATATGTATAAAGGCTTTAAAATAATTTGCATTTCTGGGGCAATATTTATTTTTTCCTCCAGGGAAATTATTCTTGCACTATTTTACCATGAAAAGCAAGTATAATGCATCACATACTTTGAGGTGACGCTATTGCTGATTATGGCGCTGTAGGCTTAAAGAGCTGTCCATTGTGTGTTTCCAATATCCTTTTATTGCTTGGCCTTTGCAAGAGGTGTCCAGTAGTTTTTAAGTTATAACAACTGTATTCTTATAATTCCAATTAGCCATTGGAAAACTGATGTTGCAGTATTCTCTGTATTCATATGTCAGGGTAATAATCATATTGATTTAAACAGATTCAGTTTTTGTGGATGTAGTCACATGACTTACAAAAACCATGAACAAATACATCAATTCTTTGTTTAGTAAAATGTGTGCAATTAGAACAACAGAAACAAGAACAACATTTATGTGCACACTTGTGCTAAATATGACTCATTCATGAGCCTCACATGGCTCCAAGCTTGTGTGAATCTTGCCTGGTCCCAAGTTTTGAGTGCTTTGATTCAACATAGCTTATATTTGTAATGTGCTGGGTTTAACCAAGTTTAGTGATTTCAATGCTAGAGAAACATTTTCCATATTTTGAGATCGTGCCACATATCTCACAGGTGTTGTTTCAGGGATCCTTAAAACAACCTGGTAATCTGGGTCAAGGTACTGTTACTATTTCCGCATTTCAAGCAGGAGAAAACAGGACTGTTTTTGGTAAGTTTTCTGTTGAGCTTGGAGATGGTTTGAGGTTTGAACCAGGTTCTTCTCAGGTCACACACATCCTTAGCTCCTCTACTCTTCCAGTTCTATGAGGTGCTTAAGGTTAGGATTAGGATGAACAATGTATACATAGAATCTTCCTTTATAAGCATTACGATTTTGAATGTTGTTGGCATTCAGTTTCCTCAGGCCAGGTCATGGTGTTTAGAATTCATAGCTTATGCTGACTCTGGGTCCACAATGATGGGCAGCTGGATCTCCAAGGAGCATCCATTTTAATTGTGGGGGGGCAAGTTAATTTCCCAGGATTTCCCAAATCTGATTATTTCTTTTCTATACAGCTCAAAAGCTGAAGCACTCTGGGATGCTTCTAAGAGCTAGGCTAGGTCAGGGCATTGCAGATAATTGAAATGGCAGGTACCTTGCAGCTGCTTGTTTAGATAGTAGCAGGCCTGTTGCAGCTACCACCAGCAGGTAAGCCCACTGGGGGCATGCAGGTTCCAGTCTGGAAGGACTACAACAGAAGGAGCTGGCTCTGCAAGGGGGCAGTGGCAGAAGTTCAGCTTCCACGCCACATAACAGATATTGGCCATATACAGAGGGATTTTGTATGGATGGATATCACTGCCACTGTAGCCCTTGATGGATTGCCTGTGTAAGAGCAATGATTTTTTAAAATACGAAATAAAGATTTATTTGGATTTCTAATCTGCTACGTTCATTAAGGTTTGGCTGTGTAACAACATTTCCCATTGATTTATTCAGCTTTTGCTTTCCGAAAAATTAACCTTTTGTAACTTCCTGTAGTAAGAGAAGGCTAAGTCAATATACACCATAGGCAAGATATTTATGTGCAGGAAAAGGTGCCATTGGTATGGTATGAGTTGGCATGGTTATTGAGTTGGTATGGTTATTGACTTGAATTCTGTTAATGAACTAGACATTTTCAAGTATTCTGAGAGCAAGCAGAATGAGAAAGCCATTTGTTGTAGCTTTGAGCATATCAAGATGGTTCAGTAATGCAAATTTGCTGACTTTTAGGGTATAGCCCACATGTCTATTTCATTATCTATTTATACTTCTCTTGAAAAAGCATGGATTATATATTAAAATAAAAGCACAGACATGTGCAGAAATGCTTTTGAATTGAAAATATTCAAAACCTTATTTAAATGGCAAAGTTGAATTTTTGACTGCAGATAATTCATGCCAAATACTAACATGCAAACTTTGCACCTGCTGAAATGCAGATGGGATTGAAGCTTTTGAATGATCATCTTTGTATGTTGTTCAAAGATCTCATTGCAAAGACTATTTTTAAATGGCCACTTTAATGAAAAAGTATGATATTGTTCTGTGCTGTTGCAAGCAGGTACTGATCAGGCAAGGCTGGTCAGCAGTCACAGAACCAGGCTCAACTCCAAGTAAGCAGATTGTTCTAAATAGGGTTGGCAGCAAATGGTTGCCTTGTCCATCTCTTCTTTCAGTCTACTCATCCTGAACTTGAACCCTGCTTAAAGAATGTGGGATGTAAAGTTAACCAGAATGACCTTAAATTATTGTTGCATTACTTTCTGTCTTTTGTGGTTCCATCCCAGTGGACAGTTGTGGTAGTTCTAGAGGCCTCTTTTATTTTCATCTCCTCTTCTAAGCCTGAGCTCAAATTTTTACTCCAATTTTGAAAATGCAGTATTCTTATTAAAAAGGAAATAATGAAGATTAACAAAGGACTCTGTAAATGAACAAAATGCTAAAAAGACATATTAGCATAATACTCTTCATTATGCTAATTAAGAGGTCACAAAATACCAGGAAGCTTTCAAGTTCCTTAGAATTTTTCCAGGCATTCTGGAAAACCTTTAATGGAGGCTGCCAGCCTAATCCACTCATAGAATCATCAAGAAACCTTGGAGGTCAACCTAGCTCAACTCTCTACTCATGCAACTGCAGCATCCCATCTAGATGGCCATCTGATAATTTCGTCCTAGGAAGGCCTGTGTTTTGCCTGTATTAAGGGTTGGGAGGTTGCCTCTTTTTTCTAGTGTGGTGTGTGTGTGATTCAGTTTGTTTTTTGTATAGTGTGGACTTTGCCTGATTGTGTGTACGAGTGCGTATGTGGCATTCTCTCTCTCTCCCTGTTTTGTATGGGGCTAAAGTGTATTTGGTG